TAGCATCATATCTGTAAGACAGACATTCATTACTTTTTCAGCTTTTCAATCTTCGTGCCCACTAATGAACATTCAGAACCTGTTGGACTCATCTTAATGCAGCATCTGAAGTGGACTTTTTTTTTTTTTTGAGTCTGACTAGAGAGGATCACATACTTGGTTTTATCACTAGAGATTAGCAAAACCATATATACATTCCAATTATAGCAACTCTAGCTGCAGTCAAAGAAAGCCTTAAATTACATGAAAACAGTTTTTTTAAAAATATGCATTAATTTTTTATTTTCAAATGTAGACTTTTCTAATATGGAAATGCGATGCTTCTTTCCCGATGGGCACATGGCTGTTATTACGCTGTCAGTCAAGTTCAGGTCCAAGTCCAGGCTGAACTGCCGCTTGTGGACTCTGGAGTATGAGTGTTGCTGCTGTTCACACAGGTTCTTGATCCCACCCTAAGCGCCAGTAAATGTAAAAAGGTTTGTAGGTACATGCCTCAGGGCACTTCTGTCTTCATCTAACCTGGAAAAGGCATCGAGACGTCAGCCGCCTTTTGTCTCACGGCAAGGTCAGCAGTACTAAGCCATGAAATATCTACCCTGAAGTGATTTTTGAAGTCTTTAACATCACCTCCTAGTCCGGATTGGGGATTCAAGAGTCACTTCTGTACCAGTATTGAGAAGTGGGCCACTTAACAGCGTGATTCTTAAAAGAACGGGAACTTTTAGCATTCTGAACCTGTTCAGCAGTGTGAATCAATTACTTGGGTTCAGCATCCTTTGCCCTCTGCCTCATCACCCTCCTCTAGCGTGTTTTACTCACTTCATGTGACTTCCTCCATTTCAGTCTCTATTTTTTTGTGCCTTTTAGAAGACTCGTAAATTCAGCTAGAATTTATGGGCACTACCATAAAACAGAATTAAAATAATCAGTTGTACTTTATAGTAAAGGAGATAAACCCCCATTGCGGGAGGGCATGTCTGACCATCAAGCACTAGAGGAGCAATCCCTGCTCCATAAATTCACTCAAAAAATTATTTTCTTTTGTCGAGATTAAGATTCCTGAGGTTAATGCTGTAGCAAACACCTTTTCTGTGACAAGTTTTGTGTGTATGGAATTTTTGAGCACAGTGGGATCTGTAGAAAAAGTGATTTGCAGGTCTGGAATTGAAGGAAATTCCTCTTGGTTTTCCCTGCTGCTTTTCCTTGACAGCGCACAAGATATTCAACAGGGCTGGGCTAGGAGAGCGTTAGCTTGTCAGTTGAAATTGTTTAACGTGCGAGCCATTTGGTTGTTTAACAGGGATAGCCTTACCTTCTGGTTTCTGCGGGTAATAAAACATTTCAGTTTTGTTCTTTTAGTTTGTCTATAGTTGAGCACACATTTAAGTCATGGATACGTGCAGTTATTTACTCTCTTCGTGTAATTTTTGCCTGCAAATGTAAATGCAGTTTCCTAAGGGATGTTTTATTTAGCCCCAGTAGACCAGTGCTTTGGCTTAATTCAGCTAAACGTTCTTTGTGTCGTTTGTAACTGAATCACTTATTCAGAAACAAGACAAGCATAAACTTAATAAAAACGCCCTCATTTTAGAAACAGACTGAAGCTGATGAATATTTGCATAGATCAGCCACAACCCCATACAAATGAAGATTTTGCTTTTTTTAAAGAGAATGCGTGAATTCAACAATTTTTTGATTGGAACTATGATGAACTGTGTTCATTCTTCATTGCAATACAAAGGAAATCTTATTAATTCCCTTTCTTGGACTGCAACAGGTAAAGGCAACAGGTCAAAATCGTGAACTGAGAAATATGCCTCCGTAGATCTGTTCGCCTGCTCGTTTAATTTGAACAGCTGCTTAGCTGCTTTTTCTCAATAACCACATGTAATAATATATAACTCTTTTTTTTTTTTTTTTTCCTTGCTGTAGCTTGACATATGGTCTAAATCCAACTATCAAGTTTTTCAAAAGGTAAGACTCGCGTCATTTCTCTCTGCATAATGTGTATAGGAGATATGCGGAGATTATTTTAAATATCCGGACCCCTATGTAAAAGAATTCAGAATTTATTCCTTTGTCACCACAACTTGCAAATAACAAACAATAACCTGTAATAATGGAAAACCGTGCGTAGAAAAGGAGATCGCTTCTGCTGTTATTTAATTTGGATTTATTTCTCATCAGAGTTCCAGTCATGGTTTGGAATAGGAAGTTAGAGCCTTAAAATTTTGCAAGGAATCTTCAAAGTACTCTTTTGTTTTAAATCTTTTGGGGGAGGAAGGACTGTTTCAGGTTCATTTGGATTTTGTTTTGTTGTTTTCATTGGTTTTGTTTCCCCCCTTTCCTGGGAGCTTCAGGTTAATAAATCAGTAGAACTCACTTTCCAAAATGGGTTTGGAAATTTTTTCCATGATGTTATTTTGCCTGCTTCTCTTCCCATGGTGGTGTAAGCGAAAGGAATAACTTAGTGAAATGAATGCCATTCCAGAAAGTAAGACAAGACTGATGGCAGCAGTAAGTATAAAACTACTAAGAAGGGTTAAAGTGTATTTTGGAAAGATCTGTATCTTGCTATTTTCCAGGCAGGGAAGAGAAATTTCTCTTTAAAGGCCTCTTGTTAAAATGCTGTAAGTTCAGATGGATCCGGGTTTAAATTCCCATTTCCTTACCTTCAAGCTGCTGAGTCTCCAGCGAGAGCGCTGGCTTCCTTTCATCTACTTTTGTGGTTTGTGTAACAAATGGGGGTCAGGGATTCGAAAGGGCATAAAAGCAGGGGTCGAAAGTATGGCATATTGGCTGTATTTGTGCATCTTCCTTCCAACATTTCAGATGCAGTCAGAAGGGAAGACGTTTGACCTACAGTATTAACCTGCTAGAGATGAAAGGACAGCTTTTGGGGAGGTTGGTTGCTCCCCCTCTCTGCCTAGCATTAAAGCAAAATTTTTCCGCAGTTGATTCTTTGCCCCAGAGATTAGTGGATTAAATATTCTTTCTTTTTTTTTCTTGCTCCTCAAAAATATTTAGTGTCAAGTAGGGTAACACAGTGGGAAATAAAACAGTGTATATCTTAGTAACTTGTTTATCAGTACGCTTTAAAGTGATTTCTGCAATGGAATAAGTTTAAGGTTCTGTAATGAAGCACATCATCTCAGTTTCCCCATGTGTGCGGTTGTGAACTCCTTTGGGCATAAGATTGTTTTCCTGGATGTTTTGGCTTAGAATAATTTGGAAGAGTTAAGTCATATTGCCATAATTTGTGCTCAATGATAGTAAATCGTGAGGTTTTGATTATATAATTTTACTTGTCTATATGCAAGATAACAGAGTGGAGTAAATGTACGGTTTGCTTAGAAGTCCAAGTTAAGAACTCGGGGAACATAAACATGTGGAGTAAATTTCTCTTCAGGTCCAGGTGATGGCCTTCAGACCAAAAGTGGAAGAGGTCAGTGCGAAAATGTGAAATGCCCCTCTTACTGCTGCCTGTGTGGCTGCATTATGGATAAATAAAACCTTTATTCTCTTCTTAATTGTGTAAAACAATGTGATGTGACCTGAATATTAAGTTTCTGTTCTCCAGTTCCCTCTCTGTAAAGAATATCAAATGCATTAATATTTACAAAAAAAACCCCCAACAACCCAGAAATAAAAGACTGCAGGAGAAGGCATTGCCTGTAACCAGTTGAACAGCTGTCTGCATTTTTTATAGTAGTTCTATACATTTTGTTCCCAGCTCTGTAACTGTTACCTTGGGCAACTTAACCTCTCTTTGGATCAGTTTTCCGCATCCCTTAGGCTGAGATGATACTTGCTGACTTCACAGGAGCTATTGCTGAACTGGTTGCGTGGTACTCTCAGATTCTTGCATGAAAAATGTGGTAAAAATGCAAGGTGGTGATACTTTGTAATCAATAGATTCTGTACTCTTGAGCTGATAGCTAAAGAAGTTAAGGCTAGGACCTAAGTCAAGTTTTCAAACAGATGATAGAAAATGCTGTGGTTCAGCATAGTAAGTTTTCTCTCTGTGGTGGTGTGCTTGCTTTGGTTTTCTCTTTATTCTCTGAAGCTGCATTTGTATCCATTTATAATACCCAGGAATAGTGAGGTAGCAGTGGCAAAATAAAGGAAATAGATAAAATCGCGTTAGCAAAACTATTATACTCTGTTACTAGTGTAGGATCTGTGCTGCGGGATCTTCAGAACAAATGTTTTCATGCCGTTACAAAATCATCAGTAAATGTGTCAGAGCACATCTGAATGTTCCTGAAATGTGTTTCTCATGGCAGTCACCAGTAACGCGCTGTGGAAGTGCTGTGCTGAGAAGGAAAAATACGGATGAGTAACTGCTCCCACCGAGGAGGCTGGGTAGCCCTTTCAGCTCTACCGCCTTTAATACTGTAAAATCCATCACCCCTCTGAAGGGCAGGGCCGTTTCTCTTTAAAAGCTGGACCGAGTTCTCCGACTCTGCCTTCAATGATAGTATAACAACATCTGGAGTTTGCAAGATACCTGCCAGTGGTAGCTGCAGGCCTGTCAAATTCTCACAGGGTTGCAGCATGACTTTCTAGGTTAAGGACCAGAGACCTCTGATCTTCAATCCAACCCTGTCAAACGAAGCTAAATTTGTCCTGACTTTTTGTTTGCAAACGTTGGCTGTGTCAGCAAGCCTTTTCTCTCTCCTCCTTATTAGGCAGGATACCCGAGTGTGTATAATTTGATGGGGGACGGCTCCCGGAGGGCCCATTACTGTTAAAGTGTACAGTCATTTTCTAAGTTCCCTGGAGACTCCTTGAATCTGGTCCTGGGGTGAATAAGCTTTACAGGCATTGAATTCACCAGCAGGGTTAGATTCAGAGAATGGAGCTGGGAAATAAGAGAGGGAAGGCTGAAAGGGCAAAAGCACAAGGAGCAAAGAAAAGGTTTTTCAGACTTCCACATTGGTCTGACATTTAAACTCCACAGGAGCAGCAACTGTTTTGATCATAAAACCTCCTTATTTTAACACCTTGCATCTCTTGATCCACTAGTGCAAGAGGAGGAACAAAACAGAAGTAAGGAAATACTTTGGGTCTTAAATCTTGGTGGGAAGAGGAGTGGACGTGAGGGCTGTATAATTCCAGGTCATTGTGCAGAGGATTAAAAAAATACCTATTGGAGAGAATGGTGCAATATTCATAAATTTGAGTTAAAAAAAAAAAAAGAGGCAAAAATACAGAATAATGGAACTGCTATGGGTCGGTCAAAATAGGAGATGGTGTCAAATGTTAACTGTTTCATTTATCAAGCTGCTGAGTTAAGAGCAGAATAGCTGGGTTTGCTGTGTGATATGCTCAGTCTGGCTGTTTAAGCCATATGCATAGTCTTTAAACCCACGTATTTCATTCTGATCTCAGAGTCCCATTCTTATTTTCACCCAAATGGTCTATCAGTTTTAGCATGCCACGAAGTGTTTTTGGTTTGGCTTGATATGCTTCTTCCCAAGGCACGTTTTAACCAAAACTTTGGGAAGCTGTTTATGCCTCTCCAGCTGTTTGTGAGCTGCATGATCCCAAAGGGCTGGAACTCGGGAGCACAATTTTCACCACTACAAGGGCACATAAGTATTGTAATGTATGAAGATGTATTCTTGTCAATAATCTCAGAATAAAATCACATGCAGGATGAATGCATGCATGAGACAAATACTGGGCTATTGATGATGTCTGTTCAAGGAGAGGAGATGGACTGTCCCAGGGTCACCTGCATGATTGCTCCTGTGCACGATCAGTACTTGGCTCTCTTCAAAGACCTGCTCAGGTGAAATAAAATCTCTATGACCCAGTCCAAATAAGCAGAACAAGTGAAATAAAAACGTAAACGCTCTGTGAGCTCTGAAAACAAGTGATAAATCCTACGCTTCAGAAAAGTCTGGTGGTGCTTTACTGAATTGGGAGCGGGGAAGGGTGTGTAAAGGATTTGTGTGGAGTTCATCAGTGCCTGTTCATAGAGGCACCATCCTTCTGAGTGCCCTCGGGCACTGGGTTCTTCTGCACACTGGATTCCCTTCAGAGAGACTCAATCACTGGAGAGATTGAGTGACGGGAATCCTTGGAAATGAGCAAAGGCCCTTGTGCAGTTTTCCACTCTATAAAAGGTCTAAACACTAATAAAATATCTTCCTTTTTTTTTTTTTTTTCCTTTTTAGTGCTGTGATCATCCTCCAGAACTCATTGTTACAGGTGACTGTTAAGGCCATGAACTTAGCTGGGTTTAAAAAAAAAAATTAAAAAACTTTCAGGGGATTTAGAGAATCCCTTTATATTAGATGGAGTTGTCGGTGCCATACTTGAGGGAATAAACCAATAAGTAAGTGGCAAAGGAAAGTTATGACTCTTAAAGGAAGTTTTGCACTTACTTCTGAAAGGTGTATTTATTGGCAGTGAGATAAAATAGTAGAAGAGAATGACAGCTTCTGTAATTCAGTTGTGTGAAGTTTGTATTTTTTATGTTTTAGTTTTAATACCAGGTATAGCTTCATGCATCTATGGAACATGCCTAGTCTGTGGTGGAGCAAAGCTATACCATAGATCTTTGCTTTTCCAGTTAGAGGAAGTGCTTGTTCAGCTTTCTCAACCTGCAAATTGTAGAATGGTTTTGGTTTGGTTTGGTTGGGGGGTTTTAAAATAAATTTTCAGCTTTGGGAATGCTGCCGTTTTGAGGATGCGTCACCTTTGGAAAGCGCATTTCAGCAGTGCAGTGCTATCAAGTAGGTAAAGAAATGTTGAAGAAATGACTGGTGTTGGCTCAGTTGAGACAAATAACGGGGATTTTGTTTTCTGCTCATCGCTGGGTGTTGGTCTCATGAGCTATTCATAACTTTACCAAGCAGGCAAGCGGGGCAGTCGGCTGCGAGAGGGGTCGGGGGTCCCTGTCTCCCCACGGAGCAGCAGCATTGGGCTCAGCAGGTAGTTTCTCGCAGCAGACTGGTACCCAGGCAGCCCCGCTCGCTTGCTGAGGCCCGGGTGTTCACCAAGAGTGACGAGTACGTAGGGTTTAATTTGCACAAAGTTGCAGTGAAGATGAGGTTTGATCCGGTATCAGTCTGGTTTGTATTCCTGATGTATACAGTGCCCTGGACAAGGTAGCAGGGATGCGTTTTAAGAAGTACATGGTTATAGTCAGCTTGAATTTGGAAGCGAAAAGGAGGGGAGGGGAAAAAAAAAATCTCAGCTGATATAATTGACTGTTAACGAGAAGGGGAGTTTTCTTGTTCAAATCAAGTATCTTTGCCAGAATTTTTTTTTTCTATGTAGCTGAAGTCTCTTTTGCTCTGTCTCAAAGTGCTTAGTTAAACAATAGCTATTTTATTTAGCAAAAGTGTGCTTCAGGAGATTGCCTTGTCCTGCCTTTTTTTTGGACAAAAGTTCCAAGTGCTTTTCAATATATGAATTGTGAAATATTGAGCTTTTCTGCAAGATCTCTTGAAAATCTATTTCAAGGTCCAGAGCAACAGCTATCCCGATCGATGTGTGCTCTTCTGAATACATTCCCATATAAAAAAAGGTAGAGAAATTAGAAAGTGACCAATAACTTAGATAGCAGTAGGTAAGGTAGAGCAATAAAAGTGAAGTTAATAAAATAAAACCCTGAAATGTACAAAATGTCATCCTACAGCCAGAATAAATTAGTTTCTGATTCCAACTCAGCTGGAAGAAAAAGTGTGTCCCTTAAGTGAGCTGGCGCATATGCAGTTTGTTTTGCTTTGCTTTGGTGTGAAATCTTATTGCCATTAGTAAAGCTGGGTATTGATCTTTTTTTTTTTTTTTTTTTTCCCCCCCCCCACCACATCTTTTTTTTTTTTTCTTTTTTTTGTTCCTTTCCTCTTTTTTAATCTTGGCCAGTTTGTGCTTTCTCTCATCATCTCTCTTATCTGGGGGGGGTTAATTCTTCCTTCACTCCTGTGCACTGGCCAGTTTATCATTTGCCCAGCTCTTTTCTCTTCTGTTTGACACCATGTTCTTCGCGGGGTTGCTGGCAGGGTCATCCCCTACTCCTCTTCTTCAGCTTTGACACCCACTTTGATCTGTTTTAGAAGCACTTTATCAGCACTTGCTTATGGTAGAAATCGCCTCCTTTTTGTTCAGGAAACATTATTAGTGTTCTAGCAATGCTGGGATTGCTTTTATCTCCCTGTGGAATCTCATTAGCTTTACATTACAATAAGAACAGCATATGTGCAACTTTGCCAAAGTGGCTAGTCAATTTAAATTTGTTAATAGCAGTATTTTTTTGAGCAACTTTCTTCAGTGCCAAGAGAAAACAACTTTGTTGTTCAGGAAGAAAAAAATACAGTTTGTTAGAAGTAGAAATACAGCAGAAGGAGAGCGGCTGCTCATAAATATCTTCAGAACTTTCTATTCTTTGACGTGTCTGGTACTATCCTATAAAAACACCATCTTAAGGGAAAAAAATACACCTCGCTAGTAGGGCTTGGATTACAGTCATTTCTGAACACTACATGAGATGTAAAAGAAATTACTGATTTGAGTTATGCTGTGTTATTAATGCACCATTAATCATGTTATTTCTAATTTTTATATATATATATATATATAGTAACGTATAAATGGCTTAAGCAGGCTGAAGTCCATTTTATGAATATTTTTGCAAACTCACCAGAATGTGCGCGGTCCCATAAGTTCTCCCTTCCAAATGTCAGAATCTCATGTCCGTGTTGACGCTGAATGGAGCTGCTTTTGGAGTTAGGCATGTGCTCGAATGATGGGGAGCAGAATCTGTTTCTAAAATTGTAGTGTAACTTAAAACTGGATTCCGTGTAGGACAGACTGATTTGATGTAGTGTTCTGCGGAGGAAGTTTGTATGGTGTGAATTAGAGCCTGTCTATACATGGATTTATTCAGGAATATATCTTTTACAGATTCACCTCCCTGAATAGCTTCAAGCATGAGCCTCTCTTTCTCCAGTGAAAGTTTCAGTGCTTCAGCATAATTCACATTGCTGAATTAGACTAAATACAAATTCGGCACAAGTGGAGTTAGCTGGCAATAGCAATTGTAATTTCAGTTCACACTTTCATGTTACTCCAAATTTACTATAATATATAGACAAGCCCTGGGAAAAATATAAACAAGCCCTGAGGAGAGCACTACTTCTCCATGTTAAAACTAGAAAATACAATTTAATCACTAACTAGACAATCGCATAGTTTGGATGCTTTGGTATTACTGACGAGGACCACTCATGGATTTGCAAGTTATGAGATGTGAAAGAGCTCTTGTTGTTGTGTTTTGTTGAGTTCTTTAATAGTCCAGCCCAAAGAATTTGGCCAAGAGTTTCTGTATTTAGCCCAGAACTTCTGAGACGCAGCAAGCTGTTGACTGTGCTAATAACTTAGGAAGCTGACAGGCTGCGTACTGTTAGTGACCTGTATCATAGCTGTTACAAAGTGCCCCCTTCCAGAATAATTTCTAAATGGTAGCGATTTAAAAAAAAAAAAAAAAAAAAAAAGGAAAATCTATGAATTATTTGTTGGTTTTCCTGACTTTTTTCTCTTTAATTCTTCTTGTTGTTGTACATATACATTTTATATGTATTCTGTCTAGCTGTAATTCCCAGATGTAAGTTATTGTTATGGCTCTGTCTGGGAGATTAAAAAGCTTTCTATCAGAAATCTTCTACTAATGCAAGTATTTGTAAACCATAATCATATTAATTGATTCCTGGTTTTCAGAGGAAACGAAACAGAGAGCTTGATTCCTGTTTGTTCAATGTAAGCAACCTGAAATAGGACTACAAGAGTTAAATAGTTTAACTTTTCCCATTAAAAATTGGAGTGTACCCATTTTTCTGTAAAAATGGAGTTTCAATTCAGAGTATTTTGTCCAGGGGAGTTGAGGGGGTGTGTGAGGGGCAGGTTTGGGGTTTTTTTCCCACTAAACCAGACCAAAACCAAAGCTTTGGGGTTTTTTAGGTCTTAACCTCTGCTCTTACAAGTTAGCTGTCCAGAACTATTTAATTTAGCTACATTATTGACAATGTTTTTTTCTTTTGTCGAGCAAATCATCATAGACTAAGGGAATATATTCTCTAAAAAAAATGACCAAAGAAAAATGGGAACATTTAAAGAGAAAACCAAAGTGCTTTCCTCTGACGTGATTTGTTTAGTGACTTCACTTGTTTATGGTTTCACAGAATAAATGGGATTTCAGTCACAGAAACAGAGATTCTGCTCTTAACACTGTAGACATTTGAAAGTTAGGCAAATTATTTGCTATGGATGCTTTTAATTTATATGGTACAGAAGTTTAGTGGTTTTTTTCCTTTTTACAGCGGGGTTGGTAGTCCAAAGTGGGAAGCAAAGCCTGTTGTTTTAGTATTGTCCCTTGCAGTGTAGAGCTGGATGTCTTCATCCTCACTTGGCTCACATTAGCCTCCTTAGATTCTTTTACCAACACTATTAGCTTTTATCATGTTTTTGAACTTCCAAAGGGGTGTTTGATTTTACTGGATGCATATGAAGTTTGATTCTTGTATGAAGCTGGCAGAGGGAGTGGAAGCAAGCTGGCAAAAGCAACCCAAAATTACTTTGAGAATGTCTGCACAGTCATGTAATCCTTGGTTTGCTACTTCCCCGTGGAATTTATACTGTTTTCCTGCAGAGTAGCACTGCTTGGTCTGAAATACAGAATGAATAAGCGTATATTCTCCTTTTCTCTGATACAGGTGACAGATCATGCGACTACTGCTCTATTGCACTACCAGCTGCCTCAAATGCCAGATGTGGTAGTCAGATCTTTCATGGTAAGTGTATTGGAAAATACATTTTTCCAGGTAGAGCAGCATGCTTACAGTGATAGACATATTAGGCAGTTCCAATGCAGTTGTAATTTCCTGTATTTAAACATGCTAGACAGTAGAGAATGACTGTAATTCTTTGTGTCTGATACCTGGACGAGGATGAAGAGCTCGTTCTCATTACCCGGAGATAATTGCTGTTGGCAGACTGAGCTGTATACGGTTCTTCTGTCACAGGTTTCAGTATTTGTTTCATGATTCCTGCTTGCAAAGCTACTCTGGGTCATCTCTAAACACAGTAGGAAGAACTCTCTCAACCAAAGTCTTTGCTATGGTGCAGCCCTTTCACACTGTTCATACTGTGCAAGGAGTTGAGTTCTGTATGTAGAAAGTCTGCTCCACTGGAAGTTCCCCACTAAGAAGAAACTCCCAGGTAGTGTGTTCCAGCTGAGGCAGCATGCATCAGGAGTATGGGAAGCGATGAGAGTGAGTTGGAGAATGATAAGAAGGATTAACATGATTGGGAAGAGTCCATTTTGCTGTGTCCACTTTCAGCCCCAACTTTGTTCCTGAGGAATTGCATGTGCTCCCCCAGCACAACAGCAGGTGGTTTTGAGAATCGAGGAGATGCTTACGGAAGTATTCTGCTGTATTCTCACTTAATAAAATAAATCGAATACTGCTCTGCCTTGATATGCAGATAGTTTATCGCTTTTAATTCTGCTTGTATTTAGAATTTTATTTGTGAAATAAACTGTGTATATAAGCAGTCCTGTTAATCAGAGGGTGAGAAAAAGGGTTTATGATTCAGAATTCCTTCTACCAAGATGAATTTTGGCAGTGGAGTCTCTTGCTGTTCTCTCTGCTGCAGTCTCCCAAAGGGGGCTTTTGGGAGAGTTTTCTCTGCTCTTCAGGCTTTTTCCTTCGCTTAACTTCCACTACATTACCCCTTCACCTGGATCAATGTAACTGAGACTGTTAAAACAAACATCTAATTTTGCTGTTCACAGTCTTTAGGTGTGGGTCTTTTATGTCTTTAATTTCCACTGTGTAATTTCAGATCAGTCAAGACTCCCTTACCTGCTGTGCTGGGTTTTTTATTTAATAAAAAGGCCACTAAGGTGAGAGATTTGCAAAGGTCTCTTCTCTTGGAGTGCATCTTAAAATAATAGGTTTTGAAAGGTGAAAGCAACTCTTACTGGTCAAATCCATGTTTCAACATGTTTCTGAAAATTAATGTTTAATAGAATGGGTAGCACGTTTGTTTAAGCCATGGACCTGCCTTATTGATTTGATAAAACACTACTAAAACTTTTAACAAAGCAAAACCAGAGGTACACCAGAAGTGTCAATATGTTGGACCTTTCACATGTCAGTGGTGCAATCCACATGACAGGATGTAGCGAAGCCCTAATTTTCTGATGGGAATGAAGAATGCTTTTTTTTTTCCCTTTCAACAGATGTCTCAAACGCACAATTTAACTTCATTTACCTATTTTTGTATTATGGTTCAGAAAATTCGATTTCTCTGTAGCGCAAGCAAAGCCTATCCAAGCTGAAGTAAATAACAGCAATTTACTTGTAGTGCACTGTTGCCCTTGTCCCCATATTTACTGCTAAACCCAGAGAAGATCTAGTTCTTTTGGAGGAGAGTTATTGACGGCCAAAGGTTCGGTTGCTATAGAGAAGGCTCTGATGAAGATGGAAGGATTTGTTTCAATAAACTCGTCTGACCTCTTCTTCAGAGAACAATTTTCTGTTATCGATGTAATTCAATAGGTCTTTAAATGACAAGATTCATGTGCATCCTTCACAGTATAAATCTGCTGGTCTAGGTGTTTTTTAGTTGTGTATCTCCTTGAGTTGGGAATTGAGTTATGTAATGCTCATTGCTATGTATGACGGTGGGAGCAATCCACTGTGGAGGCAGGAGCTTTACCTAGGAACACCTGAACTCGCTCTGTGTTGTTCAGCACCAGCCTTTTTTATA